CTGCTCTTCAAATATTATGAAATGTAATTCTATGATGTGGTCTCACCGATTCCTGGCCAATGTACACGGACAACTAATAAGACCAATCATAGATTTGCGGTAACAAATAATTGTTAAAGTTCAATATTAAGACCACAAAGAGGTGAAATTGGCTGTCGTTCCAAAACAGGCTCGAATAAATGGTATGCACTCCTGTTTCCCTGATATATTCTTCTGATGCAAATAAAATTAGTTGGAAGAGAAATAAACCTAAGTCTAAATGTATACGAGTTTAAATAGTTATATAGGAACCACACCCATATTAAATTTATGTGCTGAACAATTCAATGTTAAAAAGTTTTCGCTGATTAATAATATTTTACACAAATTAACAAGGTAAAGGTCTTTCCTTAAAAAGTGGATTCAGGTCTTGCATTACTGTTAAAATTAGACGTTTAAAACTTACAAAAATGACCTTTAATCTGAATCTCTAACTAGTGCCATATTGTTTGGTGCATATATATGGCATATATACAAATCTTAGTTTGTTTCGCGTTCATTGAATTTGAATGAGGTCTATAATACAATATATAACTTCTAATTTTCGCTTCCTCAATTGAAAAAACCATCAGTTGGGAGTAAATACAATAGAGAGGTCCATGTCCTATGCCGAAATAACCTTATTACACCGACACTATAAACAAAATAGTCAAAGGTTTACTACTCTCTTACTTTTCCTCCAATATTTTGATTAAGGATTAAATATTATATTAAATGGATATAATAAACCTCTTGGATATTAAATATTTTCACACCTATGGTTCTCAAACACGATCAGAATTAAAAAACAAAAAAAAAACAAGGAATTAATAAAATGACAAATGCCTAAAATATCACCATTATTCAGATTCCACACCAAGTAGTTCAAATTATTTGTCTTAGTGATAAATTGTACCACCCTAATACCTTAGTTTCTGCCCTTAAAAGTGGCTGGTGCAAAACACATCAGTTGCTATGCTGGATTGCGTCGTGTTTTTCCTTATTTCTTCTTCCCGCCAGATTCTAAAACCATGTATCTTCCAGTTTTGCCTTATTTTAACATTGGGCATGTCTTTTTGTTTGCACTAATCCCTTCTTGTACCTGATTTTAGCTTTCTACCTTCAATACTCCCAACCTCGCACTTTAGATCAAGGCGCCTTCCTCGTTTCGAGCACGTGTCCATTCGGGCCGTCTTTTCAAGACAGTTATCTCATAAAATTTATACCCCCAAACATGACTGGGCAAAAGAAGAAGTGAGTGGATTCACTCTGATTTCAATGTTAGAGATGACCAAATCATTTGGCGTCACTTTTCCTGCTTTTTCTTTTTGCTATATTTTCTGTCGTTTACATTAAAAAAAAAAAAAAAAACTCTTATGTCCAAATTTATGATATGACCAAACCTTATTTCTTAAGTGGGTGAAACACACAAGTTGTATGGTTCGGTGTTTATCCCAATCACATACAATTTTGCATAAATGAGTTTTGTTGCACTAATTCGTGATTGTTTCTTACCAATGATAGATAGCTCGAAGGAGGCTTCAATTATAAATTATCCACAAACATGCAAAAGAGATGAGTGTATTATTCATGTTAGAGATAAATCATGCACTTTTTTTTTTTTTTTGTGGCATCAGTATTATTTTCGTAGAAGCAGAAAAATTCAGAACACTTACAAATTCATAAATCGTATTACACTCATCTTACTTCAGATATATAAATAATATAATATAAAACTTGTCTAGATCCAGTTTATGCATTCATTCAACTATACAAACCTTGAATTGTTGAGTATACTTGATAATTATTAAACCTGTATACTTGAGCTTTGAAGCCTTCAATTCTTTAATCTTCAAATTCGATTCTTTTAGGTATAATTTACTTCTTTGTCAAATCTCATAAAAATTTTTGAGTCCAATCCTAATACTTTTTATAAGTATAGCGGCACAATCATTTAAATCTAAAAAAAAATCAATTCTACAATTTATGTTAAAAAATTTTCTATAAATAAATAAATACGCAAAAAAAGAAAAATGTGATAATGTATCATTGGACTATACTTCATGTGGGATCAATAGCATGTCTTGGTTGACATCAAGTTAGGAGTCACGAATGTCACAAAATAAGTAATGTTTCTCCATGATGAATATTCTCCCATGTGGACCAGAGTGGAAAAATATAAAAAAAGAATAAACACAATAATAATTATATAATAAAATAAATAAATGGTGTGTTTAAAATGGAAACAGGAGAGCTCAGAGCTTTGTAATGCACTTGATTTGGGACCCATCATTGCCAAAGAGATTATGTCCACGTGTATGATAAAGATTGATAAGGTCACATTCCCCAAATGGTGCCCAGAAAAAGAACCCAATTGCCTCTAAGAAATTATCAGAAAATTTCCATTAGCAATGCCAATTTACCTTTTCTTTTTCTTTCTTTATTTTTTATTTTCGTATAAAATATATTACAATTTTCGAATATATCATCACAAATATAAATATATATGACTGAAAAGGATTAATTTATGAAATCGTTAGATTCAAAACATTAATTATCGAACCGGGTATCATTTTTTTTTTTAATGAAAATTGGAAAAAAAGTGTAAAAAAAAATGAATAAATAAAGGGGCCAATGAGAGGTTAATACATTTGGAGAGATGAAAAACTTATTGTTGCAATTGGAACAGCTGGCTATATCAAAGCACATGATTGTTGGACCCACCTATGGTGAAATTGGTAGCACAGCGTTCTTCTTCCACCTGGAGATCACTTAAATTTGACTTAATTGGACAATAATGGTGGCAATTTCAATTTACTCGTCTGCTTCCTTCTACCTTTTTCTTTTTACGTTCTAATCTAGCTTTTGCTCTGAATTTCACTGTCTATGGGCTTGTTGGGCCTCAGGAAATGGATGTAACATATTGTTTGATATAGTCTATAAGGGTTTTTGTGGCATTAGACCACTAGCAATTAGCCCATTAAGAATTAATTTCTGCTTCTTCAGATCACATTTTCAATTTTGAGAGAGATGTATAAATATCTATCTATCTGTAAAAATAGAAGCATATTTGCTTATGGGGTATGATTTTAGAATACTAATTAATGAATTAGAATTAATATTTTGTTTTTTAAAGGAATTTTTTTAATTTATATTAATTATTTTAGACATTAATGAAATTAGAACTAAAAAATGAAATTAATTATATTATTAATATAACTATTTTCACTCTAAAACTGTAAAACTCACTAATTTCTTTTTTTTTCGATGATAACTTTAATTGGATATATTAATATAGTATTAATAATTAATTATTTTATAGATGATAAAGTTGGAATTAAATAAAATAAATAATATTATTAATTTAATTATTCTTATTCTAAATAGTGAAACTCTTCAATTTTTTTTTTCTTTCAATAACTAATAGTCTTAGTAATAGGTTTATTAGATTCATTATTTCTCGTAAGTAATAGAATACAACAATTAGAAAGCGAATGTTTTCTAGTTTCTAGAAATAATTTAAACGTTAAAACATAATAATAATGAGTAATTAATTACTCATAATATCTTTCTATTAATTATAGTAGTAGTAAAATTTAAGAAAGTAATTTAGCTGAGTAATTTCATTAGTTACAAATTTAAAAAATCTATAATCTTTTTATGAACTTGATAAAGTAATTATTTGTTCTATATAGTATACTATATCAAACTCACAAATCAAGTATTTTTAAATAACTCTTAATACAAAAGAAACACAACACAAAATATTTTAATAATTATATTATCAAAGCATTTTTGTAGTAAATTTTTAAAATTTTAAATTTCAAATTTCTATCACTTTTTTATTTTAAAAGTAAAAAGATTCATATAATTATAACTATTAAATTATTTTATTTTATGGATATAATTTTTAATATAATAATCAATAAAAATAAAATTTTATAGTGTACATGAATGACTAGTTTATAAATATTGTATTAATTATTTCATGTAATTTTCATTCTCAATGAAACACCAAATACGAAGTATATTTTTGACGGTTTCAAATAATCTCATGGTTTTATTCAATAATAAAATATTAATTTTTAATGTGAAAGAAGAACTCAATTAATTGAAAAATAAAAATAAATCGCCCACCGTGGGGCTCGAACCCACGACCACAAGGTTAAGAGCCTTGCGCTCTACCGACTGAGCTAGACGGGCTTCTTGTTATTGTTTTATACTTAAGAATTGTATACTAAATATATTGGTATATAAATCCTCTGCCACTCCGTTGAATACTTCAGTTTATAATTTTACATTTTGTATCTATTTAAATGCTTTCATTTGCCGCAAACATTTATTGGATATTAAAAAAACATGAAATTATTATTCTAAAAACTATATCAACTACACATTAAATCAATATTTTACACATAAAAACAAAAGCAAAAAGCCTTAAAAGCTATTGTTACTACTAGTGTGGGGAGATATGAGATTATCATAAAAAGTAAAATTCAACATTGCCAAAACTCAATTTTAAAGTTTAGATGCCACAAGATTTCTTTTATCGAACTTAGTTGTAGCCCTTATTTGGCAAGCTTAGCCAAGCAGCCAAATGAACACCTTTCACATGAGTTGTGGGAAAAACTCAGCAAATCCATCCAAGCTGTACCATCTTCAGGTTTCCACAAAACATGGGCTAGATATGACTGTCAAAAAGTGCTACTGGCTTGTAGCTCTAACACTGAGATTCTTTAACATTGAGGATCAAAGGAGATGCGTATCCATGCAATACATATAAATCTTAATGCATGCAATACATATAAATCTTAATTCATGCAGTACTTGCTCCAAGAATAAAAATGACGTCTGTCACAGTATCTGAAGTTACAACAGGAAACATTATCGATATTTTGATGTCGTTCATGCAGTACTTGCTCCAAGAATAAAAATGACGTCTGTCACAGTATCTGAAGTTACAACAGGAAACATTATCGATATTTTGATGTCGAACAAATATAAATCTTAATTCATGCAGTACTTGCTCCAAGAATAAAAACGACGTCTGTCACGGTATCTGAAGTTACAACAGGAAACATTATCGATATTTTGATGTCGAACAAAAGGCTTAACAATAACACTTAGAAATCTTAAATTCACAATCCATAATATACAAATCCACTGAACTTCATTAACAAAACCCCCAAAATGCTGAAACTTAGCATTGCAAACTAAACCCTCCTCATTCTACATAAATCACAGTTAATTTCCACCTGCAATATTAAATTAACCAGACTAACACATTGATGTCAACTTGAAATCAGAGATTTCCAATAGATGTACCCTAAGTGCATTGATCTGAAAGAAGAGTTTTCAGCTCCGCAGCTAGTCAGATTTAAGATCTTGGACATAGTATGAGCCTCCATTTTGTTCACCATCGCTTCTTAATCCTTCTTTCAACTGAATTAGATAAGAATAGAATAATTTTATCAGCCACAAATTTACACCAAAGTCAAGGCAGAAATTGTATTTATTCAGTTAGCTTCATTCAAGCTATAAGCTTCTGTTTAGAAAATGCAGATGCTACATATCAGGTAAGCTCCAATACTTTTAATTGATATTTTAACAACGAAAGAGTATTGTAGGTTTACCTTTGCAAGGACTTTCTTCTGGTACCGATAACCCTAAAAAAAAGAAAATATACCATATAAAAATTAATAAGTTGAAATTATATCACAAGTGTGCAAAGTTTAGTTGCAAGATTTGTCCAATTACCTTGTCAGTTCCATAAATAAAGTCACAGTAGGTGAACACTGAAGCAAAGTTGCTCTGGCTCTGCCCTCCAACATAATGATGGTAATCATGGTAATCTGCACCACCATAAAATGGAATATATTTTGTGGGAGTCCAGGGGAAGTCATACCTGCACAAGAAGTTAGAATATGACATGCTTTATCTGCCCCAATAGCTAAAAAATGCGTGCATGGTATACACAGGAGGTGCATGAAAAATAGCACTTAAAAATTATGCAACATTTTTGCAGCTGATCAAAGTTAAATTAGATCAATAAAGGAAGACACCATCATTTACAATAGGAATTCTTAAAGCTTCCTACTATAAGCAGTGATGGACAAAAGAAGAAACATATATTACCAACAATGCACAAAAGAATGGATAAAACTGTCATGGATAAATGAATATCATATTCAAATAAACAAATTTATGAGTCCATTAACTTCTCATGCCTCTTTGTCTTACTTTGTCATAAAGATGCTTTTTAGGTAGTACCATTTCTCTGCTAGTTGTCTGACACATTTTTCTTAATAGACATTGCACCTATTTCAATTGCCAAACAAATTTGAAGGAACAATAACTAAAAAAGCAAACCATCAGTACGTCACCCCCTAATCTGCATCAACTATTTCAACCTAAGTGATATGAACCTTTTCTCATGAACAAGCTCTTCCAGTGTATCATTATAACTGATAAGCATTCCATCCATCATGGTGGAGATGCCATCTGACTCTGTCCACATGAAAATGACTCCTTAAACAACAGATTTAGCTCCGCAGAGAACAATTTTTCCAATTTTATTAGCTACTGTGTTATCTATTCATCCATTGCATCATCAGAGATATGCATATCTTAAGCTAACACAGCCCGAAATACTATTTCTCATTATTTGTTAGCTGTGTGCTTCTCTTATATTTCAACATCTACCCTAAAGAGGAATGAACAAATACATATAGCTTGCCATCCATTGAGAAACAGAATTCAGCAATCCAGTTGCTATGAGCCTGTGACAAAATTCTTTTTTTCTTATGAATGAAGTTTCCAAATTTTCCTCATTATAACATCTAATACGAAAGTTTATTCAACTAGGTGGAAGACCATCATACACTACGTAATGCCACAGCAAGCATAAAATTTAAACAATACAGGATCATTTGATACACCTTACCACCTAATCACATGTAGATATAAAGGAACCACACTTGGGAACATAACAACAGACAGGCATAGCATATGAACCAACAAAGACAACAGAATTACACAATAAAATATAGGCCCTCCAAGTTCATGTTGAAATGTCCAATTCAGGTTGTCATAAATTCTTTCTTATTTACTAGTCCATATTTCTAACTTTTCATAGTGGTAAACCCATGCAAGTATTGAGGAAAAGGTAAAATGGGAAAATTAAAAAGATAAACAAATTCACAAGTAACAGCCAGAAACGTTCACACCCTGCTCTTACTACTTAGCAGGCTTGTATTGGAGCAATGAACGACTATTAAGAAAAGCATAAAAAAGAAAAAACCAATATCTAAGAGGTGACATATAGTACATTCCTTGGCATGCATAAGAAAGTAATGAATGCAGACAAACTGGCTAGTACTTTTGAAGTATTGCATATGTGAGAGCTCAGCAGTTGACCAAGCAACAGTAGCCAAAGGAAAACTGACAATGCAACATGTAATCACGCTTTCCATCCGTCCAACTCCTATAAAAAGTTAATTTCTAAAATTGACCAAAGAAAATCAAGAATGATAAAGAATTTTATATTTCTGAAGAGCTATGGCTTGCTCTGAAGGAACTCACATCACTTTCCCAGAAGAACACTCATTACCATGTAAGTTTCAGATTTCTTTTTTAATCCCAGTTCTATTATTTGATTTTGTACAGGAGATAGCCAATTGTTAATTTAGGAAGCATTAGCAACTAATTCACCAAAAAAAAAAAAAAATTGTTTACAGGAGATAGCCAATTGTTAATTTAGGAAGGCATTAGCAACTAATTCACCAAAAAAAAAAAAAGAAAAAAAGGTGTCCTGCTGATCCTAGTTTAGGACACCAAAAAAAAAAAAAAAGAAAAAGTGTCCTGCTGATCCTAGTTCTCATCAACGAAAGGTATAGCACTACTGAAGATACTTGAAATCTCCTAGTACTTTACCAAAACGGCAAAGAAAAAAGAAACAAAGAAACTCAAAAGGTGGCATCACTTTCTCACAAATCAACACATGCGGAAAGAGTTATCAACAATAAGAAAAGCAGTAGCATGCTTACCCACTGTGTGTCTCGATTGCCTCGATCTGCCGTAAAGCAATCCACAACCAAAATGTGATCATGTGCCCAGGAACCATTGCTGGCCCAAGAAAAGACGGAATTCCCAGGATCAATATTTCAGCCCAGTGTGCATATGGTGCAGCAAAACCAATTGGAGCAGCATATTCGTGATGGACACGATGAATTTTCTCATAGCCCCATTTACCATGAAGAAATCTGTGGATCCAATAATTGGTATAGTCCTCTACCATGAAATACACTAACAACTGTAGAAAAATTTCCCATCCTGAAGGCAATGGCAAACTCGTCCGAATCCCGATCATCTATAGGTACAAGAATTAAATCCACAAAACGATATTAAAGAATTGGACAAAATAGCATTATTTAGCAGACAATTGGGAATACACCAAAATTGCAACAGTTAAAAACACCACATCAATCATCCGAAGGAATCAAACTTTTGAAATGATTAGTCAAGAACGAACAATAAAAAAAACCCGTAAAAATTCATAGATACAAAAACTCAAAAGTCATTGCCAATATTACCAGCACCCACTTAAAAGGCATCTCCATAATCCTCAATTCCTAATTGTAGTAGAAACTAATGTCTAATTGAATGAACAACTAGAACAAAACACATTTAAGGAAAATTCCATAAAACAAATACTTAAAAAGTGAAAACCAGAACTCCAAAACCTCTAATTGTCTAACAGAAAATGAGAAATTAGGATTGTAGCTCAACGAGATTCTGCACAAGTAAATTGACCCTCCAATGCAAAACCCAGAAATCTCGCTATAGAGAAAAATGGTAAAAAAGAAAAAACTCACTCACTTCAGTAATTTTTGGGAATAGAATAAACAGGCAATATCACGAATATTATAGTTATCCATACGATTTTCAGTAAAAGCAGTGGATATAGAAATCAAAAGGTAAACGCAATTGCCAAAACCCGTAAATCCAATCTCACATAAACCATCACAAATACAAAATAGTTAAAAAATTAAAAATTGCAACAATTTCTAACCACACAAATCTTAGCAAAATTCACACAGCAAAAACCCACAATTGCCTAATCTCACCTGGATAGAAGGATAGGAAATCAATTGCAGAGGACCCACCACAAGAAAGAACATGCGCATGACATCCTTATAACAGTTAAACATCTCGGAAAAGGAAAGCTTAACTTTGGGCTGAATCTTATACTTTTCAATCCCAGCAGATCGCATTATCTCAACGAAAACGAGAGGCAGGGGCACAATAGAGAAGATTACAAACAAAAAGAGAATGTTGTGGCAGTAGAGGAAGTAATCGGACTTGTTTGCGGAGTAATTGAACCACAATGTCTCAGCATATGTGAGGTTCCGGCCCAGAGCGGCCGCCGCCTCGTCGAGAGTGTTGAACGGCAGCATTGGGGCGGTGGTGAGTGGTGGGGAGAGGAAAGCGAAAGTGTGGGGATTGGGTGACGATGTGTTAGTTAAAATATGCGGGAAGTTTTGAACGCATTTGCCGATACAAACAATGGACGAATCTTTATATATCGCGTGATTAGAGAAGAAGAGAAGGTACACGACAAACAAACTACACATGCTGGCGCCTAGCTTTGCTTTGCTATATACATGCACACTTGGATCCCACTTTATTTTTTTATTATTACTATTATACTTATTTTTTATTTTAATAAAAACTTGCAAATTATTATTATTATTATTATTGTATTACATTATGTTTTTTCAGGTTATAAGTATGTTAATTCCAAAAAGCGCACAAAATTTAAAACTGATAAATCTATTTTGATAAGAGAGCAAGAATATATAATGTTATGCAAAAACACTTTGGCTACAACTAAGGCTTGAAAGGTTTTCATGTCCGTTGCATTATTTTTGGATTTATAGCAATTACAAAATGAACCCGAGGAATATTATGTGTCAATATTTATCAAATTGATAATAAAAATAACTATTTAATTCAATTTAATTAACTGAATATCACTTCAACACAAATAATATTTAATTTTATGTTGATACAGTGAAATTTAAAATTTGTAAAAGTGTAATTATTAAGAGAGATAGAAGATTTTGAATTCGATTGTTTTTTAGTCTTTGACCACAAGGATTTTACTATTTAAAAAGTCAAGTTCTCTCACATCTTAAACCGGTGGATAGCTATCAAAAACTGAAACGAGCAATAACTCTGTTATGTCTTAGTCGAACAAATACTTTACAAGAATCACTTTCAGGTTCAAATGATTGCTTCTCTAACCCACTTCAAGCTGAGCAAGTCACAAGAAATGCATTCAATGTCAAAAAAAAAAAAACCAAAAAAAAAAAAAGTCACAAAGGAAATGCATTCAATGTTCAAAAAAAAAAAAAAACCAAAAAAAAAAAAAGTCACAAGAAAACACCTGCTGCTAAAAAAAAAAAAAAAAACCAAAAAAAAAAAAAGTCACAAGAAATACACCCTGCTGCTAAATAAGTAAATATACATATTTTATAAAACCGTGACTTTTCCATAAGTGTTTTTCTGAAATTGAAATTGATCGATAAATTTAAATATGTCTTATTCTTTACAGCAAACAGCGCGCTTCTTCAAAATTATTGTTTATGTTTTTTTCTATTTTCTTAATAAAAAAATAAGTTGCAAATGGTAGATAAGTTGCTGTCAAACTTTGAAATGGTTAATTATTAAAGCTAGTGGTAGACAGTAGATAATCAAAATCTTAACTTCTTTTTAAAGGGATTCAGAAGATAATGTAGTAAAAAATTAGAACTAATAAATTAACCCTTGATGTTGATAGTGTGAAAGTTCCTACTCTTCGGTTCTTATCATGATTCATGATCAGTCTAAATTCTTTTGACTGGGCCATGTTTGGCTCTTCATTAATTAGGAAAACAATTGTTAACACCAATATAAATGTTTAAACAGACAAGTGTCACATTTCTAGAACTTAGACAAACATTAATTGTTATAATTCTCAAAAAAAAAAAACTTCCTTTTATTATAAATAAGCATAATATAGTTAATTTATTTAATAATTTATTATAAATTAGATAAATTAAATAGGACGATATGACACTTATTTATGGACGAGAGTATTTAGATAATGAAACAACGTTAGAAAGAAATTAATGAATCGCTACAAATAGAAAGAGAGACAATAAGAAAAATGAGTATATACATAGGTCGATATAAATGCCATGATAAGTTGCTATAAAGCTTTGAAATTCTCCTTTTCATCATTATACCTTTCCTTCTATTACTTTCGCGGTTAGCTTTTTCCTTTAAAAAAAAATATTAATGGAAGTCCCACCAAAATTATCATATATTGGAGCAGTGGTTGATGATGCAAATTGAAAAGAAAAGGTCAATTCATTTTATACAAATTTCCTTCATATATCTATAGGTTTTTCTAAATTCATCCCCTTAAAATTAAAATTAAATTCACTCCATAAGACTTGAACTCATCTAATTTAATATCTTTCACTCTTCATATAGATGAAAAAATTAATTAAACACACTTATACATTATTTATCTATTATCGTTTTTGTCTCCCTGAAATTTGTCGCGAGCCTTGAGCTATAAGGATAGTAATGATAGAGAATAATATTTTGGTTGATTTAATAATTATATAAAAAGTATAATAAATTTTAAATAACTACTTAAATGCATACTTCAAAACAAAATATCGGAAATTAGAGTTTGAATATTGACGATCCTTAGAAAATGGGATTGATTGACAAGTGGTTAGACTTTGTGTCCCAGTTAAATCTTCTTTCCTTTTTATAAAATTAAAAATTTTTAATATTAATTACCAGTCATTTAAAAAATTAAAAATTTAATAGTCGATTCAAAACTTATTTATCAAAATAATACTGTGCCCTATATAATATAAATAATTTTTTCATTAACTCATTAAATTAGAGTGAAATTATATGATTGAAAAGATTCAAACTCGATACTTTTTATTTCGTATGAGTGAAAAAATAAAGTGGACTACTGTATAAAATATAATTAGATAGTAGTTATCCAAGCTTTTGAAATTACAACCGTTGGCGACTAAATGTCATGTTATGAATATTTCAATGATTCAGTTTGACTAAACAGTTAGTGTAATGCACTTTTCGATCTCTTTTGCAAAAAGTTAGGGTCCCATCAAAAATAAAAATAAAAATGGTCCCTTTGAGAAACAACACAATCGTGTTTAGACTGACAAATGATAATTAAGGGAATTATTAGAAAGGACAACTAAGAAGCATGACTACCATGATAATTAAGCCCTCTTAAGTCTTAAATCTTAATTTACAGCTTTGTAATGTTCTTTCTTTCCATCATTAGCTCTCTTTCACGCTATATATATATATATATTTATTTATTTGGATTCCATTTTATGAAAATCTCTTTAATTGCTAATTGTGTCATCGGATACCTTTCGGTCTTTACCATGATAGTTTCTAATCTTTAATGTATTATACCTATACATTATACATATATGCTAGGTTAATCATATATATATATCAATTTTCGGATACCTTTCGGTCTTTACCATTGATCTTAGTTTCTAATCTTTTAATGTTATTATACCGTATAACATTATACATATATGCTAGGTTAATCAATATATATTATAGTTATATATATATATATATATATATATATATATAGGTTTGAAAAAAGATTAATTCTTATATATAGGTTTGAAAAAAGATAATTCTGTTTTTTTAAAAAATAATATTAATGATAATTGATGTACATAAGCAAGCTATGACTGCATATGTTATTATTTCTCGCATGATATGATAAGTTGATAATTCAATTATATGCATGCTTCATTTATCTCATGGTAAATGACTATTTTTTAAAAATATTAAAAATATATTTTTTATTAATTATTTAATTATATTATAATGCATAATATTTTTAATAATTAGGAATGCTGAATCACTTTTAAAATATTAATGCAATCTTCATATTTATAAATTATAAATTGAAATTGCAATGAAAATATATTTAAAAAGAAAAAAGGAAAAAAATAGAGCATGCATGATTCACTCCATTTGGAACGAATTCCAATAGATTGAAGAGTCTATAAACAGAAAAATTTAAGTGACATCATGTAGGTGAAAAAGGTGGACCAGAGATTTTATTTGAGCAAGGCATGGCAATGGCATCTTCATCTTCTTCATTCTTTTCAGTAAAAAAGAAGATGTTTTGATTCACATTACAGCAAAAGTTAAAAAACGGGATTATATGTATCGCGACTTAATCTTGTGGTGGGGGCTCTCATCTCTCTCTGCATTTTGACGCAGCAATTGGACCTACACCTACCATATATACAATTGACTACACCTACGCATATATATAATATAATTATTTATATATATATACGATTACCACAACACTTTGATCAATCCAAGTGAGTTTGTAGTGGTGATTGATGCTACCATATATATATATATATATATATATATATAGATTACACACACTTTGATCAATCAATGAGTTTGTAGTGGTGATGATGATGATTGATGATGTGATGTGTGCAAATGATTTGGCGTGTAGACTAGTGTGATTGGACTGCCACATCTTTTACCACATCGTTGTCCCATTAAAATGTCATTGACCCATTTCTGATAACTCACTGCCACCGTTACCATCACCATATGCATGCGAGGGGATTACTTATTAGGTCAAAATGCACAAGAAAAGGCTACTATATGCTAATTTTTGTGGTTTATATTTTTATTTAAAATTGATGAAATGTAATTATTATATTTTAAAATTTTGAATTTTGACTGTGTATAATTTTATAAGGAAAAGTTAAATAAAAATTATATGAAAATTATAAATTTATGGTATCATTTTTAGTTCTTCGTGCTACAATTAATTTAATTTATTAATTTCAATGTTTATTGTTAAGAAAAAAAGAAACATCTCTATATATTGTTTTTTGGTATTATGACGGCTATCCACATACTCTTTGGGGCAATACTATTTTTGTTTTGAAGTTTGAAACTGCCCTAATCTTACAGGAATCTTTATATATTTGTTCTCATAGTTATTTAGATTCAAATTCAAATCGTTTAATTGGCTAGGTTTTGAATATTGTAAAAAAGGCACTAAATCAAACCGACTGTTGTTCGCTGGTAGTTTGATTCGGAGCATTTTATCGTGCTGTCGTTCACAACATATATACACGAGCATTTATCGTGTTGTCGTCCATATATATATATAATTACCGCGGCGTGAAGAACATTAAATGACCGTCTTCCATGACACACGAACGTCGTCCGACGACAGATTGCCAAAAGTCTGTCATTTTTTGTTTTTCTTTAAATCGCCTCCATACTCGGCTTCCTGATCCTTCCAGCTCCGACAAATCTCCAATTTGCACAAATATGGTCCATAGACTAAAACCCATATTGAACAAGTGTTTAACTGCTAATCAAGCAAAACAAGTCCATGCTCAGATCATAATGAACAATCTTTATAACCTTGAGCCTCTTTTGGTTCGCCAAATTCTTGCCTCTGCTCGCAATTACTCTAGAAGTATTGCTCAATATGTGCAAAATATCCTTTACAATCTACAAATTCCAGATTCCTTTTCATGGGGTTTCACAGTTAGATATTTCTCCCAGCAAGGCCATTTCAATGAAACTTTAATTCTCTATGTTGAAATGCTTAGACAAGGACTTTGTCCAAGCTCATTTGCTATGTCATCTGCTTTAAGGGCATGTGCTAGGATTTTATATAAGACAGGAGGAATGTTTATTCATGCTCAGAGTTATAAATATGGGTATTGTAGTTGTGTTTATGTTAAGACAACTTTAGTGGATTTATATTCAAAATTAGGTGATATGAGTAATGCAATTGAGGTTTTTAATGAAATGGTGGAAAAAAATGTGGTTTCTTGGAACTCAATTTTACATGGTTATTTGAAATTTGGGAATTTAGCAAATGCTAAGCTTGTGTTTGATCAAATGCCGAAGAAAGATGTTGTGTCTTGGAATTCAATGGTATCTGGGTATGCAAATATTGGAGATATGGACAAGGCTTGCCTTTTGTTTCAACAGATGCCAGAGAGAAATTGTGCTTCTTGGAATGCAATGGTTAGGGGGTATGTGGATTGTGGGAATATTGAATCAGCACGAAATGTTTTTGATGAAATGCCCTATAGAAATAATATTTCTTGTATCACAATGATTTCTGGGTATTCAAAATATGGAAATGTTGATTCTGCTTGGCAATTATTTAATCAGATGGAAAAGAAAGATTTGGTTTTGTTCAATGCCATGATATCTTGCTTTGCTCAAAATAACAGGCCAAAACAGGCGATTCTATTGTTCCATGAGATGATTAAAGATAACGTGGATGTTCAACCAGATGAGATGACTTTGGTAAGTGTTGTGTCAGCTTGTTCACAATTGGGGGATGTTAGGTTTGGGTCATGGATTGAGACGTATATAAAAAAAGCCGGAATTGAATTTGATGATCATTTGGTCACTGCTTTGATTAACCTTTATGCAAAGTGTGGGAACATTGATAAGGCGTATGAGCTATTTCATGTCTTGAAGAAGAAGGATGTGGTTGCTTATAGTGCAATGATACTAGGATGTGGCATAAATGGAAAGATTACTGATGCCATTAGACTTTTTACTGAAATGTTCGATGCGCAAATTCGACCAAATTTAGCCACATTCAATGCACTGTTAACTGCTTATAACCATGCTGGTTTGGTTGAAGAAGGTTACCAATGCTTTGACTCCATGAAAGATCACCAACTTGTGCCTTCAATGGATCATTATGCAATCATGGTTGATCTTTTAGGGAGGGCAGGGAGATTAGAAGATGCATTTGAGCTTATAAAGAGAATGCCGATGCAGCCTCATGTTGAGGTTTGGGGAGCTTTACTGCTTGCTTGCGAGGTACATAGCAATGTTGAGTTTGGAGAGATTGCAGCTCAACATTGCTTTGATTTGGAACCTACCACAACTGGTTATTATTCTCTTCTTGCCAACATTTATGCTTCTGTTGGGCGATGGGATGATGCCAGGAAATTGAGAAAGGTAATGAAAGAGAGGAAATTGGCCAGGATACCAGGTTGTAGTTGGACAGAATCAACTTAATTCTTTATAATATTGCGATTATAAAGCGCTATCCAAGAGCTTTATTAAAGCATATTACGGAATTCAATCTGGTTTTGATTATGAAATTTGATTAATTTTGCTTATGGATGTGGCTAAACTTGGTTGAATCTGGGCATCCACTATTTCTGCCAAAAGTCAGATCGCATCAATATACTTCGATAAAGCTTAATCAAAGCAGTGACCAAATGACCATCAAATTCGATTCCAACCTTTTTTTTAAGGTAAGTCTAAATCCACGAGGACCATGATACGAGCCTCACATCCCCAAGCACTTGTTTTGGCCTGTTATTTTCAGCAAAGAAGACACAATGGCATTCTAAAAAACAGATCTTTTTCTTCCATCAGATTAAATAGTTGAATTCCCAAGCAGGATCAGTATTTCTATATAGTTTGAATTCCAGAAATCAATACTAGTCCAGGAAATATTATTTCTTGGGGGCGTTTCATCAACAGATCTTACATACATTCTATAATTATTTGCCTGGGTTTTGTCTCGAAGGCCATATGCCCCTTTGTATCTTGAGAGGTTAATTAGAAGTTTTCCAATTATGTAATATAAATTTTTCTTAATAAAAAAAATGAATATATAATATCATCCCTGTGCACCATGTCATCACTTGTATTTTGTAGTGTAATAATTTAATTCATTTATTTTTTTTTTAATATATCTTAGTTTTAGTTCTTTATAGGTTAAGTTTGAAATCGACTTGGACAATTTTATATATTTCAATGCTTGTAATAAAATATAAAAAATTGGAAATGGGCTTGTCCTAAAGCTCTTTAATTTAAGTTTATAACGTTATTAGCAAAATCTTGGTTTCATTAGAGGGAAAAAAAATTGCATCTTTTTGTAACAGAGAGATAACTTATTAGCTTTTGGCCTTTTGCATGGAATGAAAGAAAGACTTGTTTAAAGCAAAGGATTCCAAGTTTCAATGGTGAAGCAAAGAAAGGGGATGGATTAGTTAAGCTTGTTATTCCATTACCAACAAATGGGTTTCCAATTAAATTTGTTAATTTCTGAAATTTATTGAGTTCATGAATGCAAGAACATTTTCGTTTCTGGAAATTTTCAATTTCTCCCTTTTTTTTTAAAAAAAATTCCGGTCAACAAGATTTTTAGATCAAATTGCACATAATAAGATTGAATTAAGTTTTTTCAGAGAAATTGCTTTTCTGATTTTAATAAAATATTAGTTTAATTTCAAATATTAGTCCTTAGTAAAAGAAATATTCTTAAATTTTGGAGTTTGAGGTATTGATGTTAAAATATAAATAAATAAATAAATATATATATCCTTAAGTAAAAGAAATATTCTAAATTTTTGGAGTTTGAGGTTTGAATGTTAAAATATAAATAAATAAATAAATTATATAATTATATATATATATATATATATATATAAATTAAAAAAAAAAAAAGAAAAGAAAAGAAAACATGACCAATAGTCATTTAGAGGGTGAGGGGGGGATGTCCTCAAGTTGAAAGTACATAAATAGCCAAACGGAATCAAGGCAAAAGACAGTGAGCAGTTATTAATTAAGTCAGAAGCATCCCCTTCCCCAACTACCTTTCCAACGTCCTTCTTTTACCTTCTTCCACACATAAACCAAAACCTTACACTACCAACAACGATACACAAACAGAGAACACAATCAATTAATCCATAATCTCTCACTATCCATCTTCGTTAACGCTTTTTATCTTTTTCCCTTACAAGTTTATACAAGGTACATGCCTGAGAGGAATCCCCGGCGAAGAGTCCTGCCGTCCGGCAGCCGGAAGATTAGGCCGCCGCATCCATCGCCTTCTCCTACCAAAAGAACTCCAACGCCTCGGCTATCTTTCAAGCAATCTAAACCCATAAGGATTTTGAACCGATGCTCATCGGAGCCTGTGCTGTGGAAGAACAGTGGTGATGTCGTTGGTGGAAGTGAATATCAGCAACAGGAGAGTTTTTACTCCGATGCTGATGGTGGAAGTGATCTCCCTCGGCCTCATATTTGTATTGATGTTTTTGATTCCTCTCCTTCATTGATGGCTTTTTCTCCTAAGAGGTCTGAGGTATGCATAAATTTTGAAAATTTACATTCAAGTTTGGTGTTTTGGGGTATTTGATTTCTTGTTTTTATCGAAAAATTTTGAAAATTGGATCACTCTGGTTTCTTCCTCTCTGAGAAAGAGGAAGGGCATATTGGCTTTTTTTTTTTTTTTTTTTTTTTTATATGTCAAGTGTTTCCTGGTAGGTTTGATTGTGTTAATTGATGTCGTTGTTTTATCGCAAGAAAAAATGATATTGAATTGCGGGCATCAACTCTGGCTTCCTTACCTCCTCTGACATGAAAAGAAGGTAATTCAGCGATTTGGTACAATTTTTTTTATATAATATTTGTTCTTTTTTTTAAATAATTCAAATTACAGTTTATCATTTCTATGATGTTTATTTAGTTCTTTCATATTGGTTCTTTTCCTATGTTTGCATTCTTAATCATTACTGGCGCATCCTAACTTATAAGTCACGCCTCTCATCGACTTATCCCCAAAGAAAAAAAAAAATATTAATGCAAAGCAAGAAATTTCATAAGCCAGAAAGTGATTTTATTTTGATAAACCTTGCTAGAAAAGCATTGTTGTAGTAATATCTCTGATTTGGTGTGTGAAAATTTGGAGTGCAAGGAGTTACAAGAAGCTGCAAAAGTGGTGGTATTAACATATTTTTTTTTTTTTTTTTTTTTTTAAATTACATTTATTTTATTTATTATGTTTTCAATTGGTTTTCTATTGTTTGATTTATCATTACTGCATCTAATTATAATCATCTCTATGATTATCAAAGAAAAAAAAAATATTATGCAAGCAAGAATTTCAGTAGCAGAAATGATTTTATTTTTGATAAACCTTGCTAGAAAGCATTGTTGTAGTTATATCTCTGATTTGTGTGTGAAAATTGGAGTGCAGGGTTACAAGAAAGATGCAAAAGTGGTGGTTAACATAACAGTTGAAGGGAGTCCTGGACCATTAAGGACGATGGTTAAATTGGGATCAAGTGTGCAGGATACAATTAAGCTTGTTGTAGACAAGTATTGTGAAGAAGGGAGGACCCCTAAGCTTGACAAGGACGCAACTTCTTCATATGAATTGCATCACTCCTATTTCAGCCTTCAAAGTAAGTAAAGATGTGGACTTCTTGTTTAACTAACTCTTACTGGTTATCAAATTGATTTTGAATATTTAAGGATTAGTAAATGTTCTTCCCCTGTCAATGAACCAACTAAGGAAAGCTAAATTAACTGACAAATTAACCAATTTCAAACTCAATTCCCAAATAGACTTTTAATATCGTATTCTCTGTTTAATATTCCAGTTATAGATCTGATTATAAAAACTCTGAAATTAAGCTTTTAACCCTTTTTATGTTCAAATATGTGGGTTCTTTTAACTCATTACCACATCAATGGATATGCTTCTCATTATATATGCTAATGATATGATCTCCTTGTTTATAGGTTTAGATAAATCAGAGCTGATTGGGGATATTGGTAGCAGGAGCTTCTATCTTAGAAGAAGCAGTAGCAACCGCAGTAGTAATGGGTCATCCTCTCATTGCATTTCGGAAAATGTTGTGGTGCGGGAAAACTCACCGCCACCAATTCCTCCCCCGGCATTCTTACTCTCCAATTTTCTTGCACGGAAATTTGGAAAAATTGTAAGACGAACGCGTAAACTATGTAAGGTCTTGGTTTGCTGGCTTTGATCAAGATCTACCATTCTTGGGAGTACTGCACCGTATTATTTGTAGTACCCTAATTCTTTCTTTTATTCCCATTACCTATCTTTTTTTTAAAAAAAAAAAAATCTGTATACCTGTAAATGAAAATATAAAGTTATGCATTTCTTCACATTCTATCTAAATTATTGACTTATGAATTGCTGTAAGAATACCCCCAAAGTTGCAGGGGCTTGCAATCAAATGAAAACAGGATTATTGACAGTTTTTCTTGTTTCATTTATTTTAGCTTTGAATCAAATTAACTGGAAAAATAATTTGAGAAGTTAAAAGTTTTTCTGTAGTTTTCAATGGGCTTGAGGGAAATTTCATGAATTTATTCTTTTTTTTTAAAATGATATTAGTAAGATCTTATTTCCAGAGGAAAAGTTGCTCCAAGAGCCAAAAATGATTTTTTTTATTATTTAGAAAAATATTTTTCTTGCTATGGCAGTTTAAATTATGAGTCTATTTTATAGTATTGTGATGTAAACATAGAAAGTAAAGCAAACGTTGCATGGTCAGCAAGCATTTAGAGGAACGTGGTCGGTCACGTCGTCAAAAGTTGAACCTCATAACTCATAACCTTTTGTTGTGTTTTGTTTACTTTTTTGACATTAAATAAATTCGTTTTTTTCCTATTATTTTATTTATGCCTCTCTCATACTCGTAGCCTAATGAACAAGCCTAAACGAAATTGGGTTGTATGGACTTTAATTTAGTTTGGGCTTGGAATTCAATTTATATTTCTGTTTAAAATTAAAATTGAAACAATAATGATGAGGGCTAATTTGTCATTTTCACATGGCAACGTATTATAATATTCCATAGGAGAATCCAATGGACAATTTCTTTTTGACGAAGCTGCTTGTGTCGTTTTATGTTATTTCTGCAATAACCCAATTTTCAATTTCACACGAAATTAGAGACCATCATATTGATTTTCATTAAACAATTAATTAATTTCCCTAAACTATAACAAAATCAAAAGTAATTTATTCAAGTAACTTCTTATCTCATGTCATTACTCATATCTTATATCATTATATTATGTCTAACATAAATAAAAATAAAAATAAAAATTTATTATTCTTTAAAATATTCAAAGCGTTGGAATAAAACAATCACTCTAAAACGATTTATATTTTGAGATGAAGATAGTAAATTATAAGATTCATGGATAATTACATTCTCCAATGTCAACGACTAATATAGGTTTTAAGCAATCAAATGCATCCATCATCAATATAAACAAACATGCTTCAAGTATCCAACTATCTCCTTTTTGTGTTACAAACAAACATGAATCACATTTCAGTTCATAAAAATTGAAAAGCAAATTAAAACAACAACCCAAATTATATCACCAAATAAAAGATAGACATTCTAGTGTAATGACTAAAAACATGTAAATAGCCATAGAGCATAGGAGTACTATTTTTTACAAACCAATGGATTGGAATTAAGATTAGCCTAACCAATTTCAATTTCAACCGATCGGTTTTTCGGTTTCCAAAAAGATATCGGACTGAAATCAAATGGATCTGGACCAATTTTACTTACTTTTAGTTCTTTTAAAAAATTATGCCTCAGTTAGCAAATTATTATTTGATGAATAATTAGTAAATTCATAATATTAGTAAACTCAAATTCAATGTATTTAACATTTCAATTCATTCAAAATTTTCACTATACTCTTAATTGCTTATTTCATTTATGAGTTATCTTTTGAAAGTAGGCCACATTATTTTCACCAAAAAAAAAAAAAAAATGTAGTTGTCCTTCTATTAACTAATACCTAATGGATTGGAATTAAGATTTTAGCTAACCAATTTCAATTTACAACCGATTAATAAGCTGAGTTTCTCTCAGAGATATTCCAAAAAAAGATTATCGGGACTGAAAATCAACATGAGGATTCTGATGATCACAAAATATTACATACCTTTTTAAGTTCTTTTTAAAAAATTTTAATTGCCTTATAAAATGTACACAAGTGCTAATTATTTGTCATCACGAAATATAAAAATTAAGTCAAATATTTCATTACCAGTTGTAATCTTTAGTAAACATCAAATATCATTAATCCGTAATTGATATAACATTTCAAGCTTCATGTCTCCAAAACCAATTTACTGCTCAAACTTTCACTCATCTAATATGCTTATTCAATCTTATCCCGAGTTAGGCTTCTCGAAAAGATTCAGCATGGCCAGCCGATATCATATTTTCACCTAAACCCAAAAAAAAAAAAAATGTAAGAAATGGCCACCAAATCCAAATTGTTAAATTGCTTTATACAATTGAGTTTCATTTAGATATTCTAGTGTGAGTTTTTGACTATATATCATTTTAATTAATTTTAGAAACAAACAAACTTTAAAAAACAAAAAAAAAAAAAAAAATGTAGGCCACATCATGAAATTTAAATTATTTCATTTGAATTATTATTTACTATTTCATTTTAATTATTTTAGAAACAACTTTAATCATTGTATTGGTTAGTTTGGATAATATACAATTATAGAACTTATACGGCAAAACTTTTTATTCAAACAATCAACAAAAGAAAAAAGCATATTTGAGGTATTTTTAACAAAATTTTATCATTTATTTTATATATCTTGACTAAAAAAAAAAACTCTATGAATTAGCCACTAAAAATTTAATTAGATATCAATTAAACTCTGGTTTAATAACTTTAAATCAGTTTATAGTAACATGGATGAATCGAAATTTGAACCAAATGCCTTTTTAGTTTAATTATAAATAAAATGATCGGTTCCCCCCCCCCCCCCCCCCAGAACCAACATAAATATAATATGAAAAAATTCAAAAAACAAAGACGACAATCCAAAGGCGTTTATCAGAGCAGATAGTCACTATGCTCAGGTTAATCTCGCCCGAGGCCCGACAACCAAAGTTGATTCCTCAACACAAAATCCAATAGTAAAGTAAGCTTGCGTTGGACCCAAAGTGAGTCACTGAACCGAAAACCAATAACCAACAACTCTATTTCTCCTTTACTAGACCAAGTTTTTCAATTGATTGGATATTCATGCGTTTATCCCTTATTCACACTTGTCTTCTATAGACCCAGAAAAACACGCTTCCACGTCCCATGCTCGTGACCTCGCTTCAACTGTCACATGAAAACGTAACTTGCAAAAAACATTTCTCTCTTAATTATATTGAGACAACAATAAAAAAAAAAAAAAAAACAAGAGAATCGGTTTCAGTCACAGTCGGTTACCGCGAGGCGACACAGGATAATCCCATATAAGTAGCGAAGTGGTCACTGCCAAAACCAGCCACTTTCTAGGAAGTTTCGTGGATTTCTCGTTTTTATTTAACTGTCTCAAAACCCAAACACGCCATAGCCATGCTCGTGGCCTCCTTCAACTGTCACATGACGTAACTGAAAAAATTTCTCTGTAAAACCAAAGTCACACTGCTCACCACAATACTATTAACTCCATGACTAGTCGCGCTCCAATCACCTTCCGCCACATCGTACACAGCAGCACGCCGCGCTCCACCTCCGACAGATTGTTGCAGACTTTCCCTCCCGAGAGATACTCCGACCTCGTTCGTCAGCGAGGTGGAATGATATCTGTTCCTCGAAAATTAACGTCACCGGCAACGGAGAATAAGAATAATGGGCCAAAGAAGCTGACTAAGTTGTTATTGAATGTTAATATAGAGAGGAGTCTAGGACCAGTGCATGTCATTTTGGCGCCGGAAAACACGGTGAAGGATTTGATAAAGGCGGCGATTGAGATTTACGTGAAGGAGAAGAGAAGGCCTCTTTTGAAAGATACTAATCCTGACTGTTTTGCACTTCACTACTCGCAGTTCAGCCTTGAAAGTAAGTTTTATTTTCTTTAGCTGGTCCAAATTATTTTACTTTATTTAAGAAAAATTGCTGAATTTAAAAAAAGAAAATGAATTCCACACGAGAATAATTTACAGTTATACAATTTGGCATTAGCACTTAGCAGAAACGCTTAAAAACGATAACTCTTTGGTATTAATTTTTATTTTTAGCTTTATATATAGTAGTATATATTTTGGTACAGAAGGAGAAAGATTTGACAGATTCAAATTCTCCAAGTAGTATATATTAGGCCAATCGATCGAAAGTTTTAATAGAATGAAAAAAAAAAATCTACAAGTGACGTGAAACTATTGCCGAATAGAGCCTCAGCGATTATGCAAATGGGCCTAAACTATTAGATGGGTGGGGTGAGAGGCTTGGCCCACATAAAACAAGTTTGCATTAAATGTATCACGATGGCCCAAGATAATGTTTCTCATTTCACTTCTTTTAGCATGTTTGTGTGCTTAAAAAGCATGCTGAATTTTAGGTACATATATATGGTGGGTGCAGGTTTGAAACCAGATGAGAAGTTGATAAATTTGGGGTCCAGAAATTTCTTCATGTGCTCAAAGCCTTCAAACTCAATCAATTGTTGTTGCTCAGAAGAAGCAAAATTGGGAATCAGATCAACATTAACATTTCCTTTTATAAAGTTGATGGATTTCTTGCTATAGCCTCCTTTTTTTTAAAATTTCCTCTAGCTACATAATCTAAAAGCTGTAGAGTAATATCTAATAGAAAAGGGCTGCCAGGTGAGCTGGCAAGGCATGATTTGTAAATAGTAGCAGATTGTAATCTATGTGATTAATCCCTTTTGTAGCAGATTATCCAATTGTAGGGTACCAGTTTACCATATACACGTGTACTCTTCTATCTATGGACTATGCAATGAATAATTGAAATACACTCGTATAAATCTGGCAAAAATGTTGAATTTGGGTTAGATGAATCTAAACAGATAGGACTGAAGTATTATTACTCAATAATACCTCTATCAAGAGGTTTTAAATTCAATTTTAAAAAGCATGAAATTTTTTAAAAGAAAAAAAAAATCAATTATATTGCATAACTCAATGAGAAATAAAGATGTGTAATGGCATAAAAGTATTTTACCATAATTGTTTAAATTATTCAGTTTAAATCTTCCACCAATTTAAAAAAAAAAAAAAAAAAAAAACTTCCACCAATTTAAAAAAAAAAAAAAAAAAAAAAAAATGTTCATAAAGTCTTTAATTCGTAAGTTTGTATTTTTCCTCCTGTCAAGGTTAGTTATATATTCCTTTTCAAAGTTTAAATTTTTAGATATTTACTTATATCAGTTAAATTTAACACCACACAATGTAATATATCTGAAATATTTTTTAAACTATTTTCAAAATCTATAAATTTTATATTATAATTCTAATTAAGAAATTACATTTTTTTTCTAAAAAAGAAAATACCAATAAAATTTTTGAATTTTTGTTTTTGAAAAACAGGTTTTTTTGGATGAAAGGATAAATATGGAAAAATATCAAGGGAAAATCATTTCCCCTTAATAACAAATTGAAGGAGCATATAAAAAAAAAAAAAAAAAAAAAAAAGTTCTAGTCTTTATTCGTAAGTTTGTATTTTCCTTCCTTGTCAAGTTAGTTATATATTCCTTTCAAGTTTAATTTTTAGATATTTACTTATATCAGTTAAATTTACACACACATATGTATATATCTGAAATATTTTTTAAACTATTTCAAAATCTATAAATTTTATATTATAATCTAATTAAGAAATTACATTTTTTTCTAAAAAGAAATACCAATAAAATTTGAATTTTTGTTTTGAAAACAGGTTTTTTTGGATGAAAGGAAAAATATGAAAAATATCAAGGGAAAATCATTTCCCCTTAATAACAAATGAAGGAGCATATGATTATTTTTCTGTCCCGTCTACAAAATTAGAATATCTTCAAATTGAAGAAGAAATTATAAATAAATTTCAGTATTTAATGTGAAATTGATTTCATTATTTTATTTCCTCCTTTACTTTTTTTCTCTGATAGTTTCTTTCCCTCCTTTGTCCAAATAAAGCCTGAAAATTTATCATATTTTTCATTATTCATCTGAATATATAATTTTTAATAATAATAATATAGTTTTGTAAATAACCAATTTGATTTTTAGGCCTTGATTAATGAAAATAATTTTTCATTATAATAAAAAAATCGAAAGAGCCAATTATATATATATATATATATACATATATGTTTGTTGACACATATATATTATTCATAGTTATAAATTTTTTATGGAATAAGCTGGTATAATATATAAGGAAAATAACATAACTGTATATGTACAGATAGAGTAGTACTCGTATTCTGTTTTTATTTTTTGTATTTTACAAGAAAATTTCCGATAAAAAGAGGAAAACCAAAGAAAAAGAAAAGGTCTTCTCCTTCTCGGTTCCAAAACATAGGCGAGTGCGCATTACGCACCAGACTGTCGTCAGTTGCTATTGTGCAGCCTCCTGTCAAACCCGAAGCAAGATTGGAGGAGAGACTAGACAGTTCAACGGACGGAGAGATAGGTAGAGTAGGGTAAGGAGTATGGGGGATCTGTATGTGTGGCTTATATCCTTCTTCTTCCTTATAGCCCTACTAGTCATCATCGTCTTCCAGGTCTATTCCAAAACCCTCCTCCTCTTTCCTTTTATGAATAGTTCGTCAATTTGTTGATTCATGGCTTGCAACTTTTGGACTTAAACTTTTAAGTCATATTTCATTAGCTATTAGACTTGTTTGAATCTTTTGCGCATCAAAAGTTTGTTTCTTTTTAATTTTTAATTTTTCATATTTGCCCTGTGTTCATAGTTCCGCTCATTGGATGCCTTGTTTAGTTTGAATTTCGTTGACTATGTATTTTCTTGTGTAATCATAAGTAAGAAGCCCAAAAGTAGAAACTTTTTTGCAGGATATTTTGCTTACTGGTTTCTGTTCACATGCTTTATATATATAAATTGTTCATTGATCAGTTATTCACCAATTCATAAATTTATAGTTTCACATGAAGAATTGCTATTACTAATTGTAACGCAGACTCTGTTTTATTTATTAATTGCAAAATTAAAATGCTTTTGGGTGATTATCGAAATCAAAACAATGTGTGGGGAAATTGGAATTACTTGTAAGGGGTGAAAACTAGGGTTTCATTCATTTGCTTGTGGTTTATTATTGCAATTTTTTAGATGTGTAATGTTGGGTAATGGCAGTATAACATTCTGGAAGAATTTGTTGCAGCTTATGTGCTTGGCAGATCTGGAGTTTGATTATATCAATCCTTATGACTCTTCGTCTCGGATAAACAAAGTGATTCTGCCAGAGTATATAACAGAAGGAGTTCTATGCTTGTTTTTTCTTCTAACAGGGCACTGGTGTATGGCCCTCCTGTGTGTTCCTTACCTTTATTACAATGTGAGGCTGTAAGTTTTCTTTTCTCCTTTGCTTAACTGAGTTTGTTTTGCCTTTTCTATATGTAAATTTTTGTTCATCTCTAGGAGGGAGAGAGGGGATATATCATCAAATATTTCATCAATGCCAGAATGATTTTTTTTTTTTTTTTACCAATTAGTGCTCAATTTATGCTGTTAGACCTTTTGATTGAGTTGGTTTCTGTTTGGTAGTCGGCAAAACTGCAATTAATATTCAGGAATATATCCAACTGGAGAAATTATGTCTTGTATTTGAAGCCAATAGAATCATTTTAATGCTTTATTACCTGATACTTGTTTGGACACAAGGCTCAGTGTTTGGAGGGCATGGCCTAAATGGCTAATTGCATCTATCACTTTGAAGTTGCTTCACACAACTTGCTTACTTACTAAGCTAGCAGAAACATCTAAATTATGCAGCCAAGTCCATGGCTAAATGCAAGTCTTCAGAAGTTAGAGACTCTTAACTTGCAGATGGCACCAATTGGTGTTAATCATCTCATCTTAAAAATGAATATTTATAATCACGAGCTAGGAATTGTTCTACTTTTGTGACATTTTTTTGTTGGATTGCCTCCCGTCCTGTGTACTCTATGTTGCCATAATGAGCTGACCAAGCTGCCGAACCAACCATGGCTAGGGGGATGCAAAACTGTAGAGTTGACTGATAAAAGTTGAAATTTTTTTTAAAGAAATTAAGATATTACCTATACCTTGGTGGCTCTTCCTGACAAGTAGACTGAATTCAAGAATGATGCTAGGGTTAATACATCAGAATTAAGGATATGCTGTGTCAAAAATTAGTGTTAACGTCTACTTCTTGTTAATTGATTTCATTTCATTTTAGTGATTTTGCTTTTGATCCTTGAAATGTTTGAAAATTTGCTAGGCTTCAAAATATGCTAGTTACATCTGATTCTTTTTCTAACTTTTCTGTCTTTTTATGATCAGTTACACACGGAGACAGCATCTGGTAGATGTGACTGAGATTTTCAACTTGCTTCATTGGGAAAAGAAGCAACGGCTTTTCAAACTCTTCTATCTCATTGTTCTCCTCTTTCTTGCAATTTTCTGGTATGTGTCAATACAAGAGTTGATATTATTTTTTTTTCTAATTATGGAAATCACTCGTACGAGATTGTTGTAACTCTTGTCTCTACATGTAGGATGATTTTGACTGCATTGGAAGACCATGACCTTGAATAGTTGGATACTCTGCAAGCTTCATTTGATATTGAAAGGAAGTCCCGGATTCCATAGACTGCTGGTTGTATGAATGGTTAGGACAACCAGGGGGGTTCTGTTGTAATTGATATAGCTCACTTTCCAGGATTGTGTTGTTAGATTTGCTGTTGATTTATTAATTATAATTTGAGGTGCCAACATTTCTTGGCCTTTGGCTAACTTTCATATGTTTTTTGAGTCAATTCTATTTAAGTTCATTAATTTCTTCCTCTTGTTATAAGTCTGCCTTACCTGTTTTTAAGGCATTCTACTACTATAACATCATTCTTTGGGGGCGTATGCTACTGCCTATTACTTGCAACCTCAAATTTAGAACTTGGGTTTTCTTCTGTGGAGTGATAGAACTACCAGGTAAATTAAACAAACGTTAAGAGAATATTAACCATTTCAATCAAACCCTTTTGGCTTAACGTGTCATAAGCAGTGCCTAGAAAACCTCGAAGAAACCAGGGAACTCAAACACTGACTGCTCAACAACAATTCGGAACCATATGACAGTTTGCTTCGTGGAAGATGATGGCACTGTGTTTGGTGGTATTTGTCATATAGTTAGAGCTACAATTTACGTAGCCTTTTGAACACTAATGCAGAGTATTCTTTCATTTTTAGAACCAAATAGTGCAATTAATCACAGAAGGAGTTTTTACACACACATATAATGCCCATGCAGCTAGCTGAAAAAGTTGCATCTGCCTGATTTTCCCACATAAAAATTGTATGAAAAATTATTTGTAGTCATTAAAATTGTAAATTTATCTGATAGCTAATTTATATATCATGTTATACTCATTTTACTTGATTATACATTAGAAATGGTATTTGTAAATCAGACACACACGTACATATACATACATGTATTAAGATATTGGAGGATAATTAACTATTACAACTGTGGGAATTACTTAGATACACCTAATTAAATGATGATGGAGGCTGGAAGGACGTAGATCTTTGTTTTTATCTAATTAAAATTTTATTTTATATAAAAAAAAATAATCGTTGTTACTTAAAATGTAGATATCATATTAGTAAGTGCTGCTCTGAGTTTGGTAGTTTAGTTAAAGATTGTGTTGTTGGTTGAGTTCAAGTGTTAATATTAACGAGTCTACTGTTTCCCTAGTCAAGAAAAGGGCCGGTCCAGCCCAAACATTAAATAATGATTTAAATAAATTATTAAATTTTTACCTAAATGAAACTTTTCTTTCTGCTCGCTCCTCTTCGGCTCTTCTTTGCTGCCTGGTTACCATCTGCTTCTCTGCAAAATCTGTTCAAGTAAGTTGCTTATTGTTTTTGTTTTTGAAACCCAAAATCTTCATAACAGAAAACGAAATTCAAAGTTCAAATTACATATAGGATCAATTTTCTCTAATTCTTTTGGATTTACTGCAAATGGGTTTATGGGTGAGAAAATTTTGTATATTTGGTCGAATAGTGGGATTCAATCCAATTGGATTTTGATTAGATCGGTTCTATCGCTTTGGATTTACTGCAAATGTGTTTATGGGCGTCGATGGATTGGGAATTAAATGGACGAATTGGATCTTTCTTTCTGAAACCAAAACTTGTTCAGAGATAGGGATGCATGCTTTACCATTTATTTTGGCATCACCAATTAAAAGGGTTAAATTTAAATGATCCGTTTTCAATGTCATTAAAATTATTTATGTTTTTCCTCTCTCTCTCTCTCTATATATATATATACTTATGGTTTTTTTTTTCTGTTGAATGCTTTATTTTAGTTTTATACCTATTGCTCATAATTTGAATATGAGTCTTTGATAAGTTTGTTTAGTCCTAAGAAATTATTTGAAATTTCTTCTATATTTCTTTAATTTGGAAATTAAGATTATTGATCAAAATCCTTAAAATCAGTCGATTTGTCTTTCTGTTTTTATACAACAGTTTGTGGACATATAGGATTTCATGGCATCATGTTTGGTTTATTTTACTCCCACAAATTCAATGTCAAACCATGTTTTATATTTTTAAATGAATTGTATGCTTCAAATTCTTATATCAAATGACACAAATGAATTTTCTTGCATGTCTTGATGGTGACTGTGATCTGCACTGCACTTTTCTGATGGTATAGGCTTTGTGCTTGTTGTTGATACAAGATGGTCAATGCCACAAAAGGATTGTTTGTGTCCTGGTAAATAATATATCTGAACTAACTTGTTGGCTTTTAATTTATTGCTCATTGGTAATTCATACTGACATTAGGTTGTTTATATTGCAGTGACATTCCCATGGCGCAATTCATTATCAATATGAATGCTTCTCTGCCTGCATCACAGAAGTTTATTATTCACATTTTGGATAACACTCGTCTATTTGTGCAACCCCATGCGGCTGAAATGATACGAAGTGCCATTTCTGAGTTTAGAGACCAAAATTCCTATGAGAAACCTGCTTAATTCTTTTTAATTCGTTTTCTCTTTCATTATATCATGTAGAACTCGTTGAATTATATAATACTTCCTATTTCTGAATCAGCCATCTTCAGACATTTTGACATTAGTTTTGGCATTAGGTCGGGGCTATTTCAAGTTTGCAACAATATAATTTTCTATATTCACAACTTAATAATAATTAAAGAAGTTCTAACATCAAGGGTCTAATCAAAATTAATGGAATTTATTTTTTCAAACTCTAAATGCTATAATAAATGCGGCATCACCGGACCGATAATATAAATTATCACCGCACTGATAATATAAATTATAAAAATAGTGTTTTGACCTCTTAAAAATGAAGATTAATATTGATAATCAATACTGAAGCAAACAATTTGCACCTAATTAAAAAAGATGACGGTTGTTCTTCTTCTTTTTACTGATCTCCACAGAATAAAAGAAAGTATTTGCTAAGTTTTTTTTTTTTTTTTTTTTTGGCAATGTTTTGTTAATCTCTTTCAATATTTAGCGCAAGAATTGGAGTAATATAAAAGATTAGGTAAAGTATACAATTAGTTACACCATTGTAGTGGAAGTTGCAATCAGTTGCACTCAAATATTTTTGGGTAGTAACAAAATTTGTTTTAACGTTCGTTTAATGACGAGCCTAAATCTGACGGTCAGCGTGAGTTTCTTGAGAAGAGTTTATGATAGTACCGGCACCATTGCAACCTTCCCCTGTTGAGCCATCAACAACTTCGAAGATTCAAGCATTGGTTGCAAAGCTGAACTTCATCTTCTTTGCACCAATAAACTCGCATCATTCTGAAAATGGCGTTTTCTCTCAATACAAACCTCAACCAACCTTCTCTCAGGTTCGCTCCTCTCTAATAGATATACCATACTCTTTAAATGTATAACTGTATATGCGCACGTTTGAGTATTTTTCGAAATTATTGTGGTTTCATGTATGAAAAAAATTAATTGATTCGTTTATTTTAGTGTAATGGGTGTTTATTATCGTTGGCAGTTGCGGAACCAAGCTTTATTCAGGATTGAAGCTTCAATCTCCAAGTCTGCTCATTTCTCCCGTTCTCTCCTCTAAAAATTGGTGTCCTTTTCCCTTCTTTTTAAACAAAATTTTCTTGTTTTTTATTTGAAATTAGGACTGTATTCAACTGGGAGACCTAATTTGACAGCAGAATTCTATGGCAGGGTTAACAAGAGCCTTCACTGCGGGTAATTTCAATTTTGTTTTTATTAGTACCTATCTTTTCAATAACATGATTAGGGCTAACATTCAGTAAGAAATGAAATTAAAAATCAGGGTTTTCTGTGATATTGTAGTTGAATATTATTGAATCATAGAAACATTGCATACCAAGAGAGCATTTAGTTAATCTACTCTGTTACATATAAATGCTTAATCTTGAATCAATCCATTTGAATATGCTTTAAGTTCGACCGCATTGTCCATCAAGTATTTAGCTTTAACTATTGCTACTGCTATACAAGTGTTACGTGTAATACATTTATGTATTTTCAGGAGTCGCAACCATAGACCAATTCGAGCCGGAGTTAGAATGATGCCCATAGGAACACCAAGAGTGCCCTATAGAACTCCTGGTGAGGGAACTTGGCAATGGGTTGATTTGTGGAATGCCCTAGTAAGTTAATCGAGGTTAATTCATTAGTGGAGATTGTTGTTATAATTTATTTGATGTGGGTGGTGCATGCATCAGGGATTGGACAAGTTTTCTCCTGTATCTCACCAAGCAGTAGTTTCTAGGTTGCTCACTTGATATATCTCTCGTGAACTTGTACTTTGAGCCTTTTCTGACACTAATGTGAACCTTTTTTTTGGCCTGTAATGGAGGACTTTTACTTTATTGGGTGTATGTAGTGATCTCAAAATTTTGTTGTTGAACCTTCCTTGCTAGCCTTATGGAATGGTGTATCAACAACTTGACTCCATATGCTGTAGGAATTTTCTTTTATTTCAAGTTACTTTCTGATGTAGTTCATAACTTCTATAATTTAGTTTAACATTTTCTGCAGTACCGAGAACGTGTGATCTTCATTGGACAAAATATAGATGAAGAATTTAGCAACCAAATATTGGCAACAATGTTGTACCTTGACACTATTGATGATTCCAAAAGGATTTATTTATACATCAATGGTCCTGGTGGAGATGTGAGTTCCTTGTAAATCAATCTTATTAAACAGAACCTTATCTTGTTCATTTTGGTAAACTTTATCTTCTGCATTTGGGTACTTGGCTTATGCATATTTCTAATCAGTAGTTCTCCATGTGCAGCTTACTCCAACCTTGGCCCTTTATGATACTATGCAGAGCATAAAAAGTCCTGTTGGTACCCACTGTGTGGGATTTGCTTATAATCTGGCAGGTTTTCTCCTTGCAGCAGGGGAAAAGGTATACTTCCTCTATTGAATATGGATGTGTGAAATTTTGTTGATACCATCCATAAGATTTATTCTGAAGTTAATCTTGATCAATTGTGGCATCACTTGGGTGGTTTGCTTGTATGTACACAAGCTAGTTGAAAAATTGTAGACTGGCAATGGATAACTTTATTTTACATTCTAGACAGTATCTACTGTATATTTAGTTTGTAGTAACAGTAAAAACTGAATTGATCATATAATAGATTTACTGTATTAGGATGTCAAGAGATATTAGGCCATTTTGTTTTAGCCTCAAAATTCATAGCAGTTGTGTTGTACTGATGATTTATTGTACAATATCCCAACTTTATATAAAATTTTGGCCATATTGATTGCACCATATGATATAGCAGCTAAAACCTGAAAATTCCACCTTGAGACTCTCTCTTATGATTTTCTTCTGTGTTGAAGGGGAATCGCTCTGCAATGCCTCTTTCAAGGATTGCTCTACAATCACCAGCAGGAGCTGCTCGTGGTCAGGTATTAATGCTATCATGTCATGAAAAGCTAAACTAAATATCTCGACCAACAACCACTATGCTTTTAATGTTTTTTTTTTTTAATATGATGTGCAATATATGACATGCTTACAGGCTGATGACATTCGAAATGAAGCAAATGAGCTTCTTAGGATTAAGGACTATCTTTACAATGAATTGGCTAAGAAAACAGGACAGCCCTTTGAGAAGGTCTGTGTTCCAAATGTCAATAACTTTATACTATTGTATCTTTTGTTGGTTTTTCAGCTGGTTGATTGTTAAGTAATATGGTCCAGCAAAAGTGAATATTTTTACTGTGTGCAGATTAACAAGGACTTGAGCAGAATGAAACGCTTCAACGCTCAGGAGGCTCTTGACTACGGGCTCATTGATCGTATAATCAGGCCACCTCCAGTGGATGCTGACACAACTCCTAGAGATCCATCAGCAGGTCTTGGTTAGGGTAATCTAATGGTTGTGGAATCGGTTTATGGTTGTTATAAATTAGTGTTTTCACATACCGTGTAATTGACTATTCAATTAGGAAGTTCTACATGGAAGTTTGTTCTTGTGGTCGTCTTTAATTACTGGCATATGGTTAGAGCTCCTTGAAGGCTTAAATTTTGATAAAGAAAGGTTTCCAGATAAATTGATTGCCATCAATTATCAAAGTTTGTCTCATGGAGGAACAGCAGCTCCACTGGATGATCTGATTCTTAGATTTTTTGTACATTCTAATTCTCCCAAACAGTTAATAAGCTTCAATTCTCAGAAACCAAATGACATGAGAACAAATGTTAATATGCTTTACAAGTAAAAATAAGGAGTCATTCGAGAATGGTTGATTGGAAGGAAGCAATATTATGCAAAACGACAGGAAATGCTTCCATTTTGTTAAAAACGACAGAAAATAAAAATTTCTTTTTAGGCTTTATTTGGAAAGAGATGCGAGAAAATAATGGTGGAAGAAAGTAATGAAATGTAGTTCACATTAGACAATAAAATTTTCTGTTTATTCATTTTTTTCTCTAATTTAGAGAGATTTCAATTTTATAGGCCCGCAAAAGAAAAGTGACAAGTTTTCCAATTTTATATGCCCACAAAAAAATAGTGAATTTTTTCATTTCTTTAATATTTTCCTTATCTTTTCTAAATAAGGAAAAATCACTGCCTCAGATATTTTCTTTCCTTCAGAAAAACCTCCTTTCTAAATAAAGCCATGGTTCGAGAAATGACAAATTCTAACTAAAACGGTCATTCCTTTTCTCAAAATTGTGAATTTATAATAGATAATAATCCATTTGTCTGCTTGATAACTAGATGGATTAAATTTTATTCAGTATAATTTGAACAAATAGAGAATATAATAACGCAAGAAATAAAAGAATAACATATATACATCAATTTTACTATGAATTGGCCATGCAAGTCACATCATTTGATGCTGTCCCTAATATTCGAAGCATCAATATTAAACCATAACCCAAAACCAAAACAGAACAAATAAAAGGAACCATGGAAATGGCACCTGCTGACATAGTTCACCTCCAAGTCAAGCCATGTAGAATCCCCTACAAAAATGAAACTCGCAATTATGGAAATATTTTCACACCAAGGCACAAGTGCACTTGGCTAACCTCATGATCATCAAAACTGATTATCAAGATTCTCTCTTAACCATTCTTCCCTCCATCCTTTATTAACCTTAGCAATGAAGTCCTCAATTCTTCTCTGCAAATTTTCATCAATAACTTCCTCCTCCTCCTCATCATCATCGTCCCAACCAACCTCACCATCGCTACTACTATCATCATCATCTTCGTCATAGCCATCAGAAAAGTAATTTTCTTTTCTACAATCATCATCATCACTATCATCGTCACCATGGTTCTTGTATTCATCTTTAATATTATTAGTATAATGGAACATGTCGTCGTTTTGGTCTTGATGTGAATAAAACCACGCTCCATCGATTTCATCAGTAGATGACGGCCTGTTACTTCCGAGAATAATAATAGATAACACTAGCGTGTTGAATAATGAAAACAAGAAAAACTGAGATGAAAAGTTGAGAACCAAAGCAGAAGATAAAGATAGAATCAAGAACAAAAGTACAGGTAACCCAAGAAGCTTCATGTCCAAGATATATATGTTCGATGGATTGTTGTAATGGGTTCCAAGTTATATATATAATATATACCTATGTGCGTGCATTGAAGAGAAAGAGTGTTGCTGTGGAGAGGAGTATATTCTGAGAAAGTGTTGTGACGTAAAAGTATAAGATCACAAGTAATTTCTGTCCTTTTTCTTTTTTTCTCTTTGTTTTACGCAAATCATATGTTCAGGTTTTGTGTCCGTGTTTCTTAAACAGCTTCAACTTTTTTACCGTTTTCACGCTTCTGGAATCAGTTAAATTGAAATCCATATTATCCATAAAGTTAACGTAGCATTGATTTGACCAATAGGATAGTAATTTATATCTCCAAACAAACTTTATTTGTAAGATCAAAATTTGAAAATTAGAGATTGAATTTTTTATTTTTAACTTTACGAATTGAGGTCATTTACCACTCAAACCCACACCTTATTAGTAATAAAAAAAAAAAAAAAGTAGAAAAGGTAAAAATAGTTCCATGACTTGGATTTGAATTTTTATGGTTTACAAGGTTTGAAATTTTATTTGGCAATATTGCCTTGATTTTATTTGTTATCGCTAAATACAGCTAGTTTGAAAAATTGAAAAAAGTCTAACTAGAAAAAAATGATAAGAAGAATAAAACACAAAGTCAATTTGAAAGAGGAAGCGACAAAATAAGGGCTACTCCCCCTTTCTTTGAACAATTAGCAAATTACCCACTAAATTTCCTGGCCTTAGAACGTTAATTATTCAAATTTGAAAACAGTATAGTGATGATTTAAACTCTGAAATGAGCAGATTAATCAATATTTAAGAGAATAGAATAACAAAAAACTTCATTCGTACACAATATATATCATGACAAAAAAAAAAAAAAAAAAAGAAATTGACCAATAAGGATAGTAATTTATATCTCCCAACAAACTTTATTTGTAGAATCAAAATTTGAAAATTAGAAGTTTGAATTTTTTTAATTTTTAACTTTACGAAATGAGGATCATTTACCACCAAACCCACACCTTATTAGTAATAAAAAAAAAAAAAAGTAGAAAGGAAAAAATAAGTTTCCATGACTTGATTTGAATTTTAATGGTTTACAAGGTTTGAGAAATTTTTATTTGGTCAATATTGGCTTGATATTTAATATTTGTTATCGGCTAAATACAGCTAGTTTTGAAATTGAAAAAAAGTCTAACTAGAAAAAAATTGAATAAGAAAGAATAACACAAAGTCCAATTTGAAAGAGGAAGCGACAAAATAAGGGCACTCCCCCTTCTTTGACAAATTAGCAAACATTACCCACTAAAATTTCCTGGCCTTTAGGACGTTAATTATTCCAAATTTGAAAAAACAGTATAGTGATTGATATTAAACCTGAAATGAGCAAGAATTAGAATCAATATTTAAGAGAATAGAAAACAAAAACTTCATTCGTACACAATATATATCATGACAAAAAAAAAAAAAAAAAAAAAAAAAAGAAAAAAAGCATTCGTTACATTGACCTAATCATTAGCAAAATAAAAATATGAATATATATATATATATATAAGGTGTATTTGATACCTTGAACTTTAGAATTGACTATTTATGTAATATGAATTTCTATATAAATAATTCGATATGATAGGAGCTGACTTTGGAGGTAATTATAATTTCCGAATAACCACTTCTTGGAAAGGAAGAAAAGAAAAAGGAATAAAAGGGGTCAATTTCTATGTTCTTGGAAATTTTAGGTTTACTTTCGTAAATAATGAAAATGAAAGACTGTATAACGTAAAGTCAGAACATTTATCATTTAAGACCAAAAAAATAGAAATTGGGTTGTTGCTTGAGTGATTGTGACTTGGTCCATATATTCTTCGAATGAAAGTCTTTTTGTGATTAAGCAAACTATTTTTGAACTGTTGCTTTTGTTTATGGATTTGAAACTAGATTTAGCTTCAACTGCCATGTTTGATTTTTGCTTTCGTTTATGGATTTGAACTCCGTTTAGCTTCAATTGCTATATTTGATTTCGGCGTAATGAAAGGTAATGTAATATAATCAAAAATTTTCAAGGTCTGCAATACTGCAACTTATAAGTCTTTAAAAAAAAAAAAAAAAAAAAAAAAAAAAAAAAAAAAAAAAAAAAAAACTCAAAGAATTTAGAACCCTTTGGAAATCCTACAAATAAGAAAGTAGAAAATAGAGCTGACGAAATGTTAGAAACAACAACAAATTTTCAGACACAATACACCCAATCCGAAGAAGGGCAACTCGAAAAAAAAAAAAAAAAAAAAAAAAAACTCAAGAATTAGAACCCTTTGGAAGATCCTACAAATAAGAAAGTAGAAAATAGAGCTGACGAAATGTTAGAAACAACAACAAATTTTCAGACACAATACACCAATCCGAAGAAGGGCAACTCGAGGTGTAACTATTACATTAAATATTCTACATGACATAACAGCAGCAGGTGCCTACCTAATTGGCTAACAAAACTCTACTCGGAAGAAAAAAAAAATGGGGTAAAACAAACATGCCAGTACTGATAAAATAGTCAATGAGGGGGTTTTACAGACAACACAGGAAGGTGAGACTCTACGCAGGAAGTCGACAGCCATTGTCATCAGTGACAAATCTCTCAATGCGCCAGTGAGGTTAAGTAATTTAACCTGCCGGCAAAGACACATTAATGTCAGTTGGCTTATTCCTTGAATCTGCCGGCAGAGAAGACCAACTATCTCCACGGTATGAGGAAGGTGAGAGGTTTGATTTAGGATCAGCTGTAGAAATGGGAATAGCAGCTGTCGGTGTGATAGTTGATATGGCGTCAGGTTTCTGCTTCTTTGGTTTCTGCTCGTGCTGGTTCCCTGCCAGAAAACTGCCTACTACAACCTGATGATTAAAGAAAAAGCAAATGAAAAATATCAAACAATCTGCAACCACTATCATCTCTGACAAAATGCTTTCTGCTGTGTTGAGAATGTGATGCATCTTTACAGGACAAACCTGCACAGGACTTGCAGCCACCAATAGACCTGCAACTCCACCACCTACGACTCGTCCATCTGGACTTGCCAACGACACACTCATCCCACCAGATCTGCTTCTTGTTCCTCCACTTTCAGTGGGCATAAATGAACCAGATAAAGACAATATCTCAAAGCGACCCTGGAAGAAAGCCAAAGGGAAGAGATTGGATTTCCATTGACAATATTTTATATAACAAGAACAAATCAGAGATGACTACAGAAGCAATCAATATCAGGCACTTGAATGAGATAATCAGCCAATTATTCCAGTGTGTTGTATCAGATAAGTTATTGCCTCAATAGGGAGAGCAATGACAAAAAATGTTTCCAAGGCTGAGTACAAGGAAGACAGGAAAAAAACAAAAAAAATAAACTATAGATTGAACAGCACAGGGGGCAAATTTTGATAAAACATCACTTTTTGGATCTAATAACAAATATCTGATCTTATCATAAATTTTCAGGCTTATACAAAATACAATAAGATGGCCATTTTATAATTTAGCACCAGGTGAGAAACCAATGCAACAAATGAGGCTCAACCATACTTGCCCTCATGGTGAGGTAATGATACCTAATACAATATTAACACAGATTAACCTTCTTATATATGGTGCTACTGTTAGGCTAGTTTCAATAATGCATGAATTCACTGATCAGATTTTCATTCCACCAACAGATATTTTACTTGAGGAGGATAAATTGCATCACCTCATACGTTAGTGTGCCCCCAGAGGAATCAGGCTGACGAAGTGTTACACTTGAGATCACACCATTTGCAGAAAGGACGCATATAGCTCGAGGACCTTGTTGAGAAAATGATATGATCTTCATTGTGACATCCTGAACAATAAAGTTAAGAATTCCAAGTAAGCCAATTCAGCAAGTCCTTAACACAGAAAAAACCATAGTATTCAATGTAGTAAGTACCAAAAGAGAACAAACTTTTCTACTATACTGCATAAAATTATAGTTACAGCTTCCTTAATTACGAATAGCTCCAACAGAAGATTTTATACACCTTTCAAGAAAGATCAAAGATGATGGGCCAAAACCCGATTGATTCACAGTTACTCAACAATCTGCTTAGTGCAAAATTTGTTTTATATACGATAAATGTAACATGAAACACATTTTTGTGACTGGAAATCTCAAAGTATACCTCTCCAGCATTAACAGTGATGATATGGGGAGTAAAATTAGCACCAACCGAGCATGCAACCCATTCACCTACAACAGCAAATTTCAACAATATAAGTGACAATGATATGGAAATTCTCACTTCAATCCATGCATAAAGCAATGATGTAAATGCATCCAAAGGAAACAGGAAATTTATGCATAGAAGTGGAGAAAATTAAAAATATGACAGTATAACATATTACACTGTCAACTTTTGTTTGACTATACAATATATTAAAATGGTAGAATATGGACTCCATTTCACCAATTCATAACAGAAATCAACATCACTAGTTGCCAGTTATCCACCCAATCTTTAGTCGGCACCAATGGATTAAACAGTCAAGTAGATTCGCTGATTAGAGTAGATCAGTTCTTGATATAACATGGTAATGGGAGTGAAGAAGAGAAAAAGGAGAGGGGGATGCGGAATAAAAAATAAAAGCAAAGGTATATAGCATTCACCCAGCATGTAACATATACATTATGAAATACAAAAAGCAAGGATGATTCAATTAAGTACTTGAACAGATAGCTTAAAAGTTCATACGAGAAAGTGGGATAATGCTAATTAATCTCCAGTCAAAAGCCCAGAAAGGCATAATAAACAACAAGTGATATACTACTACAACAACATTCTTCTGGGGCTCAGACTGCCTATCACATGCAGCTTCAAAGTTGAATTGGGAATTCTTTTGTGGAATGATAAAACTACAAGGTAAATTAAATTAAACATATAGAGAATAGCAACCATTTCAATCAAGCACTTTTAGCTTAACATGTGATACGCCTGGAAAACCTTGTGGAAACCAGGCAACTCCAACACAAAGTAGTCAACCACAATCCAGAATGAGAGGAAGGATATCACCTAATGCACATATGCAAAATGAAACATCTAGTTAAGAATGTTCACAATGATTTTCAAGGCATTAATTTAAATTGAGTCCATTTCGATAATAAAACACTAGACTTCTTGTACAATAAGACTAATTCTTTTATGGAAGATGATGGCATGGCGTTTTGTGGTATTTGCTACATAATTAGACCTAAAATTTAGACCTAAAATTTAACAAGGATTCTGAATATTAATGCAGTATTTTACAAAATCCCTAAAAACAAAAAACTCAGAGCTACATAATTGTTATTTATATCCTTATATTCTTCCATTTTTAGCAATAAAATCTTATTTCAAAAAGTAACCAAATAGTACAAATCTAACTAAAGATGGAGTATATAAGAGTCAAACCAGTAACCAGCAAGGCAAGAACAAACTAGATTGTTAATAAATATTATGTTCGTTACTAATCATAGAAGGACGGGTTTTTACACACATACAATACTCATGCAGCTACCCAGAAAATTAAATTAAATTAAATTTCTCATTTCCATATTGAAAATTAGTAAAAGAAGGTAACCTTAGAGAGGCCATCAAGTTGCCCAGTAAGATAAGAGGTGTAAAAAAAAAGACCAGTCAAAATCATAATTCCAGATATTCATACATCCAAGACCCACTTGGCAAAAAAGAATCACATTAATAAGACACAAGAATATCAAGACCAACAAGGAAAACATCTAGAACACATATAACATATTAAACAGAAACAGTAAATGTCAACAAATTATAGAAACAAAACAACTCCATTCTTTCCCTTTTGGCGGCATGTCAGCCTGCCAGTTGATGACATCTCTACATGGTCTGATTCTGTTCACCATGACAAAGCAAACCTTTACCAGACTTTACCAGGTACCCGTATAGTTCCCTCCACAAATTCTCTTCCCAAAACGGGAACAGAAAGGCCAAGCCAAATGACACCTTATACTAGCAAGACAAGATTCCCTCATTCCCATACCTACTACCCACATACCTCACTATCTCTCTAAACCCACCGCCCACGTATGCACATACAGATCTCAATTGACGCATCATATCACAGGTCCCACATCCATAAGCCTGTACTTAAAACCACCCAATTTTCGCATGGAAACAATACAAAACCACCAATTCAAGAACTAAAAATCCCAACTTCGATCACAAAACAAACAAAAAAACACCTCAGCTCAAAAGTGTATTTATATAAATCATCAAATTATCCATATACCTAAATTCTCTAGCTCGTACTTGGTCTTGCTCACTGGCTTTGTTTTCCTTTGTTTCTCAGCAGAGAAATCGATCACCGGAGGTGCAGGAGCCGCCGACGATATCGGCTTCGGGGACAGTGCCATCGTGACACTACCATCAGGACCATACTTTCTTGGCCTTCCTCGCTTTTTCTTCAATGGCATCGCCGGATTCGCCGCCGTGGACGGCGGAGGAGCCACCGCCGGTTGCGACGGAGGGGTTGGAGCTGATCCAGTGGCAGGGCTAGGGTTGTCAGCCGACCTTGGAGCGATTTGGTAGTCGGAAGGAACATCGGATCCCACCACTGTAACCCCACCTCCACTGCTACTACTAACAGTTTCTCTTGCTTGCATGCTTAAACCCTATAGATTTTATTTTCTAAACTGTTACTAAAACACCATTTTGTTTTCAGCTTAAATCATCTAAAACAAAGTTCAATTTTTGAGAAAAAAAAATAACAGAAAAATCCAAGCACTGTTAGTAAAACAAGCTTAAAATTTAGAACACAGAAGACAGAGTAAAGAAAAAAAAATAGTAATCTTAAAAAACACACACAAAAACGAAAAAAAGAAAGAAATTTCTGGGTTTTGAGGAGCTAAGCAGGAGCTAGAAGATAAATTTTACAGTGAGATTTAATCTACAGAAACTTGGGTTTTAGCTTAATTATAAAGATTAGGGAGCTGAAATTAGCAGAAAAAGAGCTTAACTGGTGTTTTTAGGAAAAAAAAAAAAAAAAGAAGAAAAATTGGCTTTTTATTTTTTATTTTTAGAGAAAGAAGAAAGATTGAGAGGAGAAAGATAGGATTTGTGGTATTGTGAATTTTGATTTTTGTATTTATGGATTTGAATTGGAAAAATGGTTTTGAGATAATAAAGAAAGTTTGTTTTGTTTTTTCGTTGTTGTTGAGCTAATTTAAGTTCTTAACTTTTCTAAGCCTGTCTGAAATGAGATTAAAAAATTAGGGAAATAAGGTAAAAAAATATAAATAAAAAATATAGAATATTAAAAGTAGGAATTGATGAATATGTTTGCAATGATTTCTTATATATTTTATTTTAAAAAATATAGATATTTTTTTGTTTTGGTAGGAATCTGGTGAAATATACATTAAATAATGGTGAAAGTGGTGGGGGATTTTCTTTACTCTTTTTCTATTTTCTTTTTTTTTAAATATTTTATATTATATAAATAAATATATACAGGGGAAAGTGGACAAAGTGGTATTATTGTCATCATTTTAATTATAGTTTCCATTTTTTATATATAAATATTTGAGTGAATGTCAAGTAAAATTAGGTTTGCCAAGGCAAGAAGAAATTAGCTAAAAAGGAAAAAAAAATTTAAAAAAAAAAAAGAAAAGAAAAAGTGGGTTAAGACATGCATGACATTTTTATGGGGCCTTGCCACCATTTTCTGATGCAAGCAAAAACTATAATTACATAAATTTTATAAAAAAATATAGCTTAATTAATAGATAATCCTTTTTATACACTTCACATTTATGTTTTTGCTACCCTTAATTGATAAGAAACACCAATTACTATATCAATATTTTTTTTTTTTTTCCAAATGATTATCCTTCCACTAATTGTGCAAGTAAGAAAGCTTTTTTTTTTTTTTTTAATTTCTTTTGAGAAAAAGAAGAAGAAAAAAAAGGAAAAGAAGAAGAAGCAAAGCAAGGAAGTTACCTTTCTTAAAAATTATGTTTAATTTAGAATCTTCTTTTTATCCTCCATTGTTTCATTTTCTTTTGTTTTCATTCCAACTAAAGAACCAAAATTAATAGACATGACTTGGAATGATTAACTAATGCAACAAGAGAGATTTAGACATGCTTGATTAGCATTAGTTAAGGTAATTAGAAAAATGTTAATTAAAAGCAATAATTTTATCTTCTTTTCATAAAAATTCTTGGTTATTTTCTAAGGAAATCAAGAGATTTTTATTTTTTATTTTTAAAAAATCATAATTTTTGAAAAATATAAACATTTAATATTACAAGATGAACAGGTGATTAAAGAACTATCAGTTTAAAATTATATTTAAAACAAAAACAGATGTTAAAAGATAAACATTAATTATTTTCTTTCACCATCTCAATTGTCTTATTTGATTTAATATAATTCTCTATCGTGAATTATGATGAATTTGTGTCATGATTTACATTATCAAAACTTTGCTGATAAAGACATATATCAATTAAGTGGAAAAAAAATTAGAATTCTCAATAGATTATTTAATGAGACAAAACCATATATAATTTTATGCCCGGATTGTAAATCCTTTAATATAAAACAAACCCATGAATATTATTTTTTTTTTCCTTTAAATATACTATTGATATTAGGATTCAATTGGGACAGTTTTTCTTTTTGTTAAAAATTTAATTTATATAAAATACGTTTTTTTAATTAAGTATTTTACATATAGTTGGAAAAATTAAATAAAAAATTATTTTATATATATTATAGTTTCAGAAAAATAAGAAGTACACAATTATTTTTACTTTCCTAAAAGATTTTATATTTATTATTTACATTATTTGTAATTAAATATGAAGTTATACGACAAAAAGTTTGTTTAAAAAAAATATGACAATAAATTAATACATTATAAAAAAGTAAACTATAGTAATTGTTAATGGACTAGTTGGCGTTTACTCTGTATCCATTTTTATCTACCTCTTTATAGAAATTTTTTTCATTCAAATTCCGCGTCATTTTAATAAATTAAAGAGTATTAACTAATATTTTTTCAAGTTTACCTTTATTTATGTTATCCGGTGTCTTTTTTTTAATAATCCTCATATTTATGTTTTAATATAGTTCGAGTTATTGTTAGATTATTATTGTCTATATCTTGAAATTTTATTTTCAAATCTACTAACTTTTACGATTTTTGAGTTTTTATTGTCGCTATTACGGTGATAAAAGAAAAAATAGTGATCATAAATAGTCACTAAATAGAATAAAGTATCGCTTAGGGCGATTAACTCAATGGGATATTTTAAATCAAAATTATATTTTTTATTATTTATATAAGTGATTTATTACTAAATTTTTTATGCAGTAATATAGAAACAGATAATATCGTCTTAATAAAATTTTTAATTTGATTTTTTCTTTAAAAAAATATTAAACACGCGTTTTTAGAATTTTACCTTTATCAACAGTTTACTTGTATAGGTGGAGATTCAAACTCATATATATAGAATCCACTTTTTCATAATCCACCTTCTTACTTCCCTTGTTCTCTCCCTTCATTTTGGTAGTAAATTAATGAAAGGTAATTATTGAGATCGGTTTAATTATATAAGATAAATGGTAATTTAATCAAATTAAAAAGTATTTTATTATAATATTGGCGATTTAATTATTTTTTTAAGTATTATATAAAATCCTTAAACTGAATATAAAAATAAATGGAATAAACATTTGTGTAAATATTCATTTTTTTTCTTGAAAATGTCCATGAAACTTCATATTAAAAATATGATATCATTTATCAACGTTGATTGGAGCGAAGAGGTTGAAATTTTTTCTCATTCAATCAAATGTCTTAAGCTCAAGCCTGTATATGAAAATTGGAGAGTCATATTTATGTGAGTTGGCCTTTCGGATAATAATGGTTTAAATAAAAAAAAAATAGAATTGAAATTCTTCTTGAACAAAATCATTTAAGTTTGATTAAGTCAACTTTCAAAAACAAAGAAAGATATGTGTACATATTCTCTATTCTGTTTACCAAAGGAATGTGAAAAAAGAAAAAGAAAAGTGAATTGTGAGATGAACCTTACTTGAAGCCTTCTCCTAATAAGCAATTGGTCCTTTTATATTATTTTATTTTATTTTGAAATAACTTTTCTTTGGAACTGAATATGTCTTTTTATTTGGAGAATTATTTATTTCCCACCTAATCTCTAAACTCTATCTCTTTTTTTTTTTTTTATCTAATTAATTGTTTTAAGATGAAGAAAATTAGAAGTGATTACAGATCATAATAATTAATTTAATACATGAAGGGGACCACTGCTAATTGACCATTAATATGCAATTAAAGACAGCTATTCAATTCAATATTCATAAAACTTAAAAGCATCTTTTCCTGAGTAAATATTAAAAATATACTTTAGATAAGAACGAAACAATTATTGAATTTCTTGAGCTTTTTTTCTTTTAATAAATATGTGGTGATGAATTCGATGCATATATATTAATTTATTTTTAAAAAATTTTATGGCATGCTTTATTTTAATATTTATTTTATTTTTTGGTCGGTCATCAGACCTAACTTTTTTTGAATTAATTAATTATGTAATGGTATGGAGAAAAACTGGAATAACATTTGAAAATTACTAATTTTATATAAGAAATTACCACTTGAACTTAGTGGTGCCCATTGCAAGTCCATGTCAAAAATGGAATCTCGATAAGATGAAACTTAAATATTATTTTTTAATTATATTTTTGAAAAAGAAAAATTAATTAACAAGTTTTAATGGCTATTTCCACTTGACAATTGCATTTTGTTAATGATTTAATATGTATGCTTAATAGAAAATACTGTATTTAGTCAACTTCTTTTTCTTTCCTTTTTTTTTAGGTTATATTAATATTTGCTGACCATTTCAAATATTGAAAGTGAAATATAATGGCAAAAAAAAAAAAAAAAAACTAAAAGCATCTTTTCCTGAGTAAAATATTAAAAAAAAATACTTTAAGACTAAGAACGAAAACACATCATGATGAATTTCTTAGCTTTTTTTCGTTTATAATAAGTATGTCGATGAATGAATGCGATGCATATAATACTTAATTAATTTAAAACAAAAATCTTAAAATATTGGCATGCTTAATATAACTTTTTAATATTTACTTTTATTTTATAAGAGCACTAGTTCATCATAAACTAACTTTAATTGAAATTAAAATTAATTCTACGTAATAGGAATATGGACGAAAACTGGAAATTAAACATTTGAAAAAATACTATGTTATATAATAAGAAACAATAATGAACTTGAAGCTTAGTGCGTAGCCATGTGCAAGAATCCGATTCAACAAATTGGAAATAACTCAGATAAGAATGAAACTTAAATATTATTTTAATTTAATAATAAATTTCTGAAAAAAAGAAAAATTAAAATTAACAAGATTTAAATGGCTAGATATTCCAACCATCTGACACAAATATGCATTTTGTAATCAACTGATTTTAATATGTATGCTTTAACTAAGAAAAAATACTGTAATATTTAGTCAAACATATCTTTATTCTTCCAATTATATTTTAGAGAGATAAATAATAATAATATATTTGTGACCAATTTCAAATATTGGAAAGTAGGAAATATAAATGGAAAAAAAAAAAAAAAAATACAAAGATTTAAAAAAAAAAAAAAAAAAAATACAAAGATTAAAAAAAAAATCTAAGCCATTTACATGAAAAAATTACAAGAGGTAATTAAGGTAATTAAGGTGCAAGAGAGGTCAAGATTTGTTGAAATATTAGTCAAATGAGTTGTTGATTATATCTAGGTTAGATCTTGGTGTAAGTTGGACTTCTTGACTCTACTTTAATATATGTAGAGAGGAAGAGAGAGATTCATTCAACAGTGAAAAACCTACTTGGACAGGTATATGACCCTATTTATAAACCAAACTAATAAAACTAAATATTTTCATTGAAACGAGTGTATTTTTGACTATATATTTGAAATAAAATTTAAAAATGATAAAGTCGAAATATTTTTTGAAAAAATATTAATTTAATTTATTTGGTTCATAAGTAGGTCATGAATCTGATCTAAGTAATTTTTTTCCTTTAATCATAATAGTGTTTCTTTGAGTTAAAATACTTATGAGTCAAAGTTACTAAGGCCAAAGCCAAAGAACCCA